TGGCTTTGTGGAAGCCTAGTCTGTTTGGAAGCTCACCTTCCTAGACCTGGAGGAGGGGGGAGGACCTTGGACTTCCCACCGGGCGGGGAACCCGTACTGCCTTTTGGACGGGCCGGGGGGGGGGGGGGGGGCGGGGAAAGGGAGAGAAAAATGGGAGGAGGTGGAAATTTTTAATAATAAGAAAAAACACAAAGGAAAAGAAAACTGTGTTTCTTTTTTATGACTTCCTATGAACACCCTACCATATGCCTAGTGCTGTCTTTTAATGCCCAGTAGACCTTTGAGTCCCCTCGACATCATCGTCCTCATCTGTGAAGTGTGAGACGGAAGTGGTGCCCAGCTCATCGGGTTGTGGGAGGAATGCATGGCACGTCAACGGTATCAACCCCACTAGCGTTATGACAGTTAGAGGAGGGTGCTGTGCATCTCTGAATCTAGTTCAGTATTGATTGACATTGGTTTCCCAGCTGCAACTGATAATGTAGCCCTGATTTGCAGCAGGAAATTTGCAAATTAAAGCAATTTGTAAGTTATTAAAAGTCTTCACTAAGTGTTCCTAGGCTCCTGTTCCTTTGTTACATAACCACTCACCTGCACACCAGAATGGAAGCATAAAGCAGAAACAGGAAATGAACAAGGAAGGCCAGGAAAAGTGTGCATGCTCACAGAAGCACCCCTTGTGTCCCAGATCTCGGTATGGTAAAGTTGAATCTGTTCTCGCCCAGGTGCCCCTCCTGCAGCTTTTGAACTTGAGTGACAGATTTCACATACACAAGCTTATCATAAATCCCAATGTCTAATTGCAGACAGTGATAGAAATAATAGCTCGTTAGTCTGGCAAAAATTGAAACAATGGAGAGAAAGCTGGGCATTTTTGGTTCAGTCACAGAAAAACAGAGGCAGGCATGCCCCTGGGGCTTACTAGATAGCCAGCCTGATCTACTTGGCGAGTGCCAGACCATTGAGAAACCCTGTCTCAAAGAAAGGGTAGATGGCAGCTTGAGGACCATTAGTCAAGGTTGTCCTTTGACCTCCACATGCAGCCCCCCACACACCATACACATGCACATACATGTGCCTGTGTGCACACACGGCAATGAAGGACAGGGTAAAGTTTCTTTGGCCAAGTTACAACTAGATGCAAAAAAGTGGGCGTTATTGGTTTTATTTATTATGCCGAAATACTTGAGCCAGAAACATCCTTGTTTTCAAAGATGAGAAGAGCAGTAAGTTTGATTCTGTTGTTGTTTTGCTCACAGTTCTCAACACCCAGGGCATGGTGCTGAAATCAGAGATAGACCACAGTAGCAGGAAAATGTGTGGGGCAGAACAACCCCATGGCCTGACAGGAAACCAGAAAATGACTCATAGGTCAAGATGATTCTTTTAATAACTCCATTTTATGTGAAGAAGTTAGTATCTCATAGGAATTAATCCTTTCTGACCACTGAACCTCCATTAACGTAATGATTTCAACTGTATCCTAATCAGAAGAGGTTCTACCATCTCCCATCACTGCCACACTGAGGACCAAAATTCCATTATTTGAACCCCAAGGGGGGTGATTTCAAGTCCTTCCCGATCAACAGTTCATCTTAATTCCCTAGGCATCTATGCCCCTGTAGGTACATGCATTCCAGCCTATAAGACAGTGAGGTCATTTTCCCTGCCTTCTTCATGGTGGGCTTCTGTCCTTGACAGCCTACACTTTCTTGCCCTTCACCAGCCTCAGGGACCTAAAATGCATTGTTAAACTTGTCACATATCAAAATACGACATGATACCACACATGACACTTACACAGCACGATATGAACAAGGGTGGGAAAGAGATGATCTACTTTGTGATTAGTGTTATAATATCCTGTCTGGCATCACAAAGTGGTTGAGAGTACCACAGTGCCGACTCCGGGATCTAAAATGATTAGAAACCAGGGATAGTCGTGGTAATTTCTATACATTAGTGTCTTCATCAGGAGCAGAACTAGGTACATGGAATCCTCTTTAAATTTCGGCTACTTTGTTAACTTTTTTGCTTGTTTTGGCCTTTGGCTTTTTGTTCTCACTATGTTTTAGAAGAACACGTAATTAGACACAGTGGAGCAGAGTTATCACACGGTGCCGCATCAGTGGAGCGTGGGATGGCGGGTATGGGGTAGGTCATCAGGAAAAAGTCCACCATGTTGTCTAAGATGTGACTGACACTGGTTCCAACCTATTCTAATTTCATCCTTTATTCACTCAGAAATGCTTGGTGCTTGTTCTATGGAAGCCCACTACTCAGAGAATGATAGGCGAAGACATACCATAGCAAGACTGCTTATAAACGGCTTTATTCTCATCTCTCAGTTTTATTCTGGGATATCAGGGTATATATATAGAATGCTAATCTAATTAGGTTTGGCAGTGAACGGTGAGAAAAGTATAGAAAGTATCACTAGGGAACCATGTTGGACTAATCAAAATTGCCAACTTGTCATGAGCATTGCTAAATGATACTTTCAGAAAACGAGATTCTGTGGCTTTTTGGGAATGACTTTGTAGATCATACAACAGTTTCCCCTCATGCTATAAATAGATGAGTTCCAGTGATCACTGCTTGTGTTCTGAGAATATTGTGGCATCTTTAGTCTTGGCAGCGACGTAAGGTCAAACGATAAGGTCAAAGGCTGTGGAGAACCCCATCTCCTAGGATTACTTATTGTGAGTCAGTTTGTCATTCCTCGTGCTTCTAAGAAAACTACTATTTTTGGAATGTGAGAGTGACCCCAAAGGTTAGCAAGCTTAGTGTGCTGTTTACTTGGGGATGGGATGGTTTTCTTAAGAAACTGGCCTTTCAGTAAAATGCTTTCTGTCTGAGATACTTGAGTCCTGGAATATGATGAAGCACACAGGCTATGAGGCAACAGACGCAAGGAGTAGAGGGAGTGTTGCACAACATTTTTCCTCTTTTGCTCTTTGAGGGGTCCGCCACCCGGCTCCTCAATAAATGATGCACAGAGGCTTAGTCTTAGTTATAAACTCCAGGCCTTACATTGGCTGTTGCTAGCCAACTTTTCTTGTCTTAAATTGTCCCATCTATCCTTTGCCTCTGTTTTTTCCCCCCTTTTCTTCTGTGTGTCTTACTTTCCTTCTTACTCCACAACTGGCTGGGTAGTTGGGTGACTGGACCATGGCATCCCCCTCTCCTTGTTCTCTAGCTGTTTCTCCTTTATTTCTCCTTCTATTCATCCTCTTTGCCTGCCAGCCCTACCTATCTTTGCTCCTGACTCACTATTGGCCGTCCAACTTCTTATTAGGACCATCATGTGTTTTAGACAGGCAAAGAATCACAGCTTCACAGAGTTAAACAAATGCAGCGTAAACAAAAGTCACACACCTGAAAATAATATTCAGCCACAAGGGAGAGATGTTTAGAAACCAGAAAGAACTGACCACAGAAAAACTTGGAACAATACAGTTCTAGCTTTGTGTCCTGGGGAAGGTATTTAATATTTTGACATTATTAGTTTTCCTACTTTTGTTTACACCCACGGACTAAAGCTACCCTCAACCCTGGTCCAAGAAACTTCTTTTTACCATGGGCAGTAGTTATGACTGAGACTCAAAATCGACCAAAGTATTGAGACTAAATGACTCTTGAGTGTTCAGCCCTACACAGGGCTATCAATACCATTATGTCTGAGGCTGAGGGAGCATCATGGAAGAGGGGCTGGAAAGAACATAAGCCTGGAGAAGAGTGATACAAAAACGCTTTGCTTGGTATGTCATGGCCATTGCATGCATGCATTCACAACGGCGGATGTTCCCTGCAGAAGACCTGCATACGGGGACCTTTAGCTTTCTACCATGAATAGAGCAGGAACTCATGGGGTCCACTCTGCCCTGAGGAACTATTGGCAGTTAATGGATACAGAGAGAGTTGCCATTTTCTTCGGTGGTCTAGACATTGATAAGTCACACAAGCCCTGGTAAATATGCATGCAAAAATATGCATGCACATGTTTATGCAATCTACCGTAATTGTTCTCAGTAGAACACAATTCAAAAGACATGAAAACAGAAAGGAACTTTGTTTGAAAGAAGAAAAGATTCAGCAGCAGGAGGAGACAGTTGTGTTAGGGCAATAAAGCGAAAATGACCAAAATTCATTATATACACATATGAAATGGCCAAATACTTACTTTAATCATCAGTTTCCCCACATATTAGATGGATACACATGAAAACACTGTATTAATTAATATGCTTGCTGAGCATTCAGCATTTCAATTCTATAAAAGTTATTATTAGCTTGTGAAAATGCCACAATAACCCATTAGACTCGTAGCCTCTTTCAGGCACTCTGGTTGAGTTTCTTTAATAAAAACAGAGGTGAATTTGATACACTGAGCTGTTGTCATTAACACATTGCCTCGTTATAATTATCAACTGGATATTTTGGTCTTATTCCTAATTAGACTTGCAAATTGCCATCAGAAGAGGAAGGTGCCAGTCACCAGGAACCAGGAATGACAAGCAGAAAGACTAAAGCTGTGTTCCTCGCAGTGTAGAGAATGAGCGTCTGATTGAAAAACAATGACCTTGTTCCCTCTTAAACCATATCTCCCTTGTTTGGAGGCCGTTCCAAACATCACGCTCTGCACAAGAAACTGACACCTTTGTAGCCTGCAAACTCCATCATAAAAGTGTAGAGCCTAAATTAGAAGAACCAATATTTGAACGTCTCTCTCTCTCTCCCTCCCTCTCCTTCATTCCCCTCTCTGTCTCTCTCTGTCTCTCTCTCTCTCTCTCTGTGTGTGTGTGTGTGTGTGTGTGCACATGTGTTCAAGGGTGTGTGTATTCACATGTGAGGCATTCAGGGTTCATCTTCTGGTGCTGTTCTTCAGATGTTTTCTACCTTGGCCTTCGTGACTGGGTCTTTTACTGACTAGGAACCTGTCAAATTGGTGAGGCTCTCTAGTAAGCAAGTTTCAAATATCCACCTTTTTCTTTCTCCACAGCTCTGGACTTTTGAGCGCACTTCACTGTGCCTGGCTTTTTACTACGGGCTCTCGAGATGAAGCCAAGTCATCCCGTTTGTAAGGCAAGCACATTAGCAACCAAACCATCTCTCGGCTTCAGTTTTATTGTTCAGTTTGCTTTGCTGTGGCTTGGGGAAAAGAGTTGACTTTGTGGATCCTGAGCTCGATAAACCAGTTAATCCTTAGACCAAGCAGTCATTCCATTCCTTATGGAGTTCTGGAGAATGGCCATGTGTGCTGCAGTTAAAAGTGTTTCCTCACACTTCAAAGGCTAGGCTATTAAACATGGAGACACAGAGACAGCAAGTGGTCATATTTGCTTTTGAGGCCTGTGCTTGACTTGTTTCAGGGAGGGGTTGGGACTGGGGAAGGCTTGCTTAGTTCAGATGCTTGGGAAGCATACTGCATCCTTCTGCGCTTGAGAGTCCAGGAAAGCACATCTCCTACCAGGCCAGTTCTTGGTGATGCCGGGACTGCTGATGTTGTTGATGGTAAAATCCTGACCTTAGAACAGGTCCAGCTGAACCTAGAAAAACAAATGAGCAGAGATAACTCCCAAGTTAAACAGCGTGACTTGCTCATCTTTATCATGGAAGTCCCAAATATTGCCATTTTGTTTCTTATTCAGTTTTCTGTATAACATCCATCTTAGCAGTTGCATGATCCCCACCTTCCTAAGATTTAAACCCATGATTTGGGTCAGAAGATAGTGTTTGCAGAAGATATCAAGCTAGGCCTGGGGTATGCCTCAGCAACAGATCACAAGGCCCTGAGCTTTAGCCTAAGAATAGAACATAGAAAAATAAAATAATGCTATACTCAAATAACTTGTCTTCTGGAGGAATGGCATAGTTTTTTAATCAAGCTGTGCCCAACTTTTTCACCCTTATGATGGGTTATTTTAATCAGAGGACCCCTCAGTCCTTCATTCAGATATGTTCTTGGTCTTCTAGATAAGTCCCAACTAACTAGTTGTAACAGCCTAAACAGCCTGGACTGAGCCAGGCACCCTGGAGTAGTCGTCCTTTCCAGATCTTTTCATAACACAAAACTGTGTGTTGGAACATGCAGTGGCGGTTACCACAGACAGCCTGGCTCCATGCAGGTCATCAAAATGAATAGATGACTCAGATCTGATGTCTACTTTCCCAACACCAACATTTTTAGGCATCTGGTAAAAACTCTAGAACCATAACCCAGATCCCAGGAAAGTATGTGAAGATGTTAATTGATTGAGATTAAACCATTGTCTGACAGAGGGAAAGATTCAAATACAAGTTAATTTGAGCTTCAGAAAACCATCCCATCTAAGGGAGAGTGAAAACACACACACACACACACACACACACACACACACAAACACATCCCCTGTTCCCAACATCCCTGGCTATCTGTATTTACCTTGTAAGAATCTTGTGACTGTGGCCTTTATGGACTGTTAGGTGGACAGGAGCTATGTTGGGATAGATGAAGAGGGAAACCAGACCAACTCTTTCACTCCCAAGACTCAGGCGAAGAACATCATTCAAGAATTAGCTAGAACTGAAAGCAGCAGACGCTGGGACTCTTGGGTGGTTGGAGATCTCAGGGTTGTGGACAGAAGACAACAATGTTGGCTCTGATCACGTTGACCTCACAAGGCCAAGACAGAGCTGAGCAGGAAGCTAATCTTCCTGTTTCCAAGGATGTGAGAGTACACGGAGATCTGTGAGCAGGGGAGTTTCCTCCAGTACCCATGATGGGATCTGGAGGCCACTGTGCGAACCAGAGGCCTCTGTTCTTAGAGAAAGCTGCATCTTTCATCCTTTACTGTCTGTGGGGCTCTCATAATTCTGGTTAAAGACCAATGCGCTGGCTAGGTGTTTGTTTTTGGTCTTATTTACTTTTTGTCAGTTTGATACAAACTAGAGTCATCCAAATACCAACCGATCAACTGAGAAAATGCTTCCGTAAGATCTACCATCTCTAGGCAGATATCCTAGATTGTATAACAAAGCAGATTGAGTAAACCAAGAGAAGGAGCAAGCCAGTAATTAGCGCTCCTCCGTGGTCTTTGCTTCCTGCCCCTAGGTTTCTGCCTTGTGTTCCTGCCTTGGCTTCTGCGGATGACACTTATGAACTGAGAGTAATTGAAACAACCCTTTTTCTCCTCAATCTGCTTTAGGTCATAGTGTTTTATCTCAGTGATAGAAAACCTAAGACACCCAGTGAGCTGATTCAGGGAAATGACCCACCTACCAGCTCAGAAGAACCACCGATGGCACCACTATTGTGCTGCTGAGGGAGACAGAGAACAGAAATAATTAAGAACAGTATCAATGTGTCTTTCTGGAAAATAACTAAGGAAGAAAGTCAACACTGAAATGTGGACATGTGTTCCAAGATACATGTCTAATAAACATGTCAAAGCATAAGGCAAAGCAGAGAGAAGCCTACTGTCTGGTCTGGAACTTCCTCCATACAGCAGGCAGCTCTTGGGGGACTCTGTTCGGGGCACTCTTCCTGTTAATAGAAGACCCTCATGATTACCAGCTTCGCTCTCAACAAAGAACACATAGCACAAGAACCCAGGTAGTTAGAGTCTGACGTATGAATTTAGAGAGAGATATAAGCATTTGTGCCATGGAACAGTTTCTTAGAGAACATTTTATTTTTTCAACAGGGCATGTAAATATATGAATAAATACGTTTCGTATCTCAATAAAGTATTTATAAAAGTTACACACCTTATCAAAAAGAAACTCTGAACAAACTGCCATGTTTGCAAGCTACAGTCTCGTCCTACTCCAACTGAAAGTCAAGAAACCCTCAAAGTAAAAGAAGAAAATTTAAAAAGACATAGTAATCCCGGGATGTTAGGAAACTGAATACTTGTAAGACAATGGAGCGTAAAAAAAATCATATGTGTCTGTTGTGGTCTCATAAGATTTTCATAAGAAAAATGTTCTCTGCACTATCAAAAAGTAAAAAGAAGTAAAAAGCCAAATTAGATCAATTATTATAGAAGAGATTGGAGAGGTGGTTAATCCCCTGCTGAAGAAAAAGCCTAAGTCAGATTAATTCAGTGCTGAATCCCTAACCCATTGAAATAGATAACTAATATCATTTAAATGATTATGGGTGTTAGAAATAGGAGTAGTTTTAAGATATCAGAACAGTAACACCGTAGCCTAAGAAAGCAACAACAGCTGAGAAGGCAGATCTTTTTTATTCCTGGAGATGTCAAACATGTGATGAATTCTTCAGGGACTGTAACAGAGGATTGAGTGCCCCACACCAAAGCCCAACGAGGGCTTTGACAAACAAAGGAAATGCAGTTCAGTTCCCAGAAGTCTGGTTACATATCGATTACCAGCCTTTATCAGGAGATGAACGCGATTTTTACATAGGATAGACTAATCAGTGTAAGATGAAATGTTCACAGTCAGGGAAGAACTAGTAATGTTCTATGTACAAAAAAACCTAAACCATTATTCGGCATCAGCAATTGCAACACTGGCGTTTCTAGCGGCAAGTGAGACAAAGGGATACATAATATAAAGAGATAAATTTATTGATTCTGAATATGTGCCCCATTTCTTTGAAAGTTCACTTAAGGCTTTTGTAATCAAACAAGACATTTTATTGTATTGGATAAAAAACCAAGATAAACTTTAGAGAACATTGGCCCCTGCCAATGCAGGGAACAACACTTAGTGATATGGGAAGAACATTTGATTCAGAAAATAGATGCTGTACACAACATTATTAGTTAAATTTGGTAAGAAGGGTACAGGACATAGTGTATGAAAACTATAAAAAATATCATCTTCTTGGGTGGAAAGGGCATTGTTATAAACATGTCAATTCTCTGAAAATTAATGACAAATATAATGCAGCTTTAAACATTATTTTCCTTTTCCACAAAGCACCATATAATAAGGTTGGTGAGATGGCTCAGTGGATAAAGGGACTTGCCGACCTGAGTTTGATACCTAGGACCACGTGCTGGAGGGAGAGAACCATACCTTTACGCTGTCCTCTGACCTCCACACAGATGCTGTGATGGGTGACATATTCGCATAAATAACTGCAATAGAAAATATGGAAAGGAATACTGACAGTCACAATACTGATCATAAGAAGTACATTTCTATACAATGATGTCTGGGGATTATATATATTAGGTTTAAAATAATTGTTTCTTGTTCCCTGGTTGGTAAACGGTAGGGTTAAAGAATTAAGTTCAGAAGACTGGGGCTGGTGGGGAGGGCAAGAGAGACAGAGAGATGGGGAGGGAATAAGGAGAGGGGAGGAGAGAGAGAGAGAGAGAGAGAGAGAGAGAGAGAGAGAGAGTCCATTGTTCTTTTTCTGCACAGTTTGGTCAAGCTGTTTGTGTAATAGAATCACCTGTGAAACATCATAAGACAGATTCCAGATTGTGACTTGAGTTCTTGAAACAAATTGCAGCAACCTTTTAGGGATCACTGGCTAGGTGTAGGCTTCAGCCATCACGATCACTCGTTTCAGATTCTGAGAAGAGAAGCACAGCGTTGCCTTTGAGATGGCTATCATCTAAACCTCACATGTGAGAAATGACTTTTTTTTTTGAGAAATTAGCAATGAAAATAGATGTAAAACTAAGCTTGGCTGTGTATATTGGTGTAAATGCAGATTATCAATACTTGGCTGGCTGTTGGTATTCAGAGCAAGACTGTGCGCCAAACCAGAAATAGACAGGTAAGTATGGCGTAGATTCCTACTGCAGACAGGTGTGCAGTTCACAACTTGCTTTCCACATGGCAGTGTTGCTCAGTGTTATGTGGAGAGCGATGCTGTGCCTTGGCTCAGGTTTGAAGCCAGCTTTGCTCCTTCTAGCTTTGCCATTTCAGCTTGTGGTTTCTTCTCCTCTGTGATGGAGAGGTGGTAATATTTACCTCAGATGCACTAATCATTTAGTAATTTAGCTAGGTAAAGGCAAATTATGAGAAGCTACAAAATTGACATCCTTTGTCTGAGTATTTGGGATTATGGGAATGCCATTCCCTGCCTAAGTTGACAAATATTAGGAACCCAATGAATATGCTCTGATTAAGCTTCAATACTGTGTGTTGTAGTATGAACACCAGCTTGTTGGGGTATCTGTCTTGCCCGGTACCCCACAACCGGCATGCCCCAAAGAGAAAATCACACACAGGACTCCATATGATTATAAACTGATTGGCCCATTAGGTCAGGCTACTTATTAGCTCTTATAACTTATGTTACCCCATTATCCTTATCTACATTAGCCACATGACTCAGTACCTTTTCCAGCAGGGCATCTTACATCTTTCCTCTCTGGTGGTCTGGGCAGGAGTGGCAGAGGAATCTTCCTGCTTCCCAGAATTCTCCTGTTCTCATTGCATCACCTCTACTTCTTGTCTGGTTTTCCCGCCTATACTGCCTGCCTGGCCAATCAGCGTTTTATTAAAATATGATTGACAGAATACCGACAATTCTCCCACATCAGTGTGTCTCACCACAAATTAATTTTGTCAAATGCATGAAGTGTAATCTTTCATCTTTCTTATCACTTCAAGGTAGTACTTTTTAATATTCCCAGGGCATGCCTGTTTGTGAATATAAATGCATTTACCTTAATAACCAGCTTGCAAGAGAAGTTTGGAATGCATTGTGGGTAATACCTCTCTTTTTCCTCAGCCAGCTTCATTCACCACAGCAAATCCTTACTCTCTCCATCTCACTCCCATCCTCTGCCACGAGGCTCTGAGAAGTAGTTCATAGATCCATGAACTCACAGTCATTGAGCAAATGATTTCTTCTTTCATGGCTCTACTGTGTTATGCATGGGCTTGGAAACTTTCAAGAACCTGAAGAAGAGCAGAGGGTCCTGGCTCTGTGGCATTCTGCCTATTCACTCTGACAGCTTTCCAAGGACACCATCATAAAAATGTTCTTTTCTTTATTCAGGAACATATGCGCTAAGAACATCAACTTACAAATAGGTGACCACAGATGATCCCAGTCCAACAAGTCCCTGACCTTAGGCCATGTTTTTCTTCCTATATCTCTCTGTTTTGACCGCTAGCCATCTCTCTAAGTCTTGTCTGTCCCTCCTGATGCCACATTTAAAAGGGAAACAATTGTGCTTGGAGTGAGCTATACATATGTGAAGCTGATGCTATGTGCCCTGCATCAAAGCCGTTGGCTTCTCTGGGGCCCTGGAGATCTGTGTTCCTCAGCAACATGACTCTAGGGATGCCTGTTCTGTTGGTGAACATTGACATCAGTTCACCCTGTCACAATAGCACACCACAGGGATGCGAGCGACTTCCGTTCCCGAGTCCTATAAATGCTGTCTTGAGCTTCGAAGTTGGTAGTGGCCCTGTTTTTATTTTATTTATTTTATTTTTCTCTAAATTATGGTAAGGCATATGAGCAACCACTGTGGTCATTTTATTTAAGAACTCTTATTTATACTAGAGAGCAGAAGAATGGTGACCGAAAGCTTAAGTGTAGGATAAGGTGTAGGCACTCATGAAATGATAGCATGAGACTGGCTAAGTAGCAGCCAGTGAGACCCATGCCTCATTCTCCCAGGATGCTCCATTGAGCTTTGAAGCCCAATGCCCAAGCTCCTTCTGGGGAAAGCCCACCTTTCCCTTTCTGGTCCCTTTTGCTTCCTCAAGATGATGCTCATTTTAGATACATCCCTTCTCCATCCTGAGACTCAGTTCTCGCAAAGGACAAAGTCATACCCATGTCCCAGTTAACTATGATAATAAGGCTGACAGTGTATCTTTCCCCAGAGTGCAGATGCCAGTGTCTGCTCTGCCACCCAAGAAACTAAACATCAGGCCAGCTCAGCAGACAGTCCAGTCTGCCCCATTTAATAGCCAGGAGCATTTCCACTGACCTCAGTAGGCGGTATAGGACAGGAAGTGAAGGCTGGAATTGAAAATGCTTTAACTGTGATGTTTATTGTAAATGCCCAGTTGGTGTTGGCTTATTCAAGAGGACACACTTATTTAGATTTAAAAGACACAACTTTAATCCGGAAATAATACCTTGAAGTTGTGAAATTTCACTTTATTTGGGCTACATTGAGCATCCCAGCTTGGTAACATTTTATAGGCAACTGCCAATTTCCTTCTAGACTGAGAGCTATATAGTTGTTTGTCTTCAGAAAACATGTGTGAATGTGCCTGGGAGAGAGACAGGAACCAGAAAAGGCAAGGAAAATGGATGTTTCTGAACTTCTCTCCTTTCTCTGATGTTTATTTCAAGTGAGGTCATGGTGATTTCACGATTATTTCCCAGTAACCTTTAAAATCACGAACAAAAAACTATTCTTGAATTTCTTCTGGAATTTTCCATTGATCTGTTCAAAGGGTCTATGCCTTCAAATCTATATTTTCAACTCCCCTGTTGAGCATTTGTTAGCGGGCTCAACGCTCCCTAACCTCCTCAGACATAGAAACCACCTGCAGGGAGGGCGCTCTCTTGATCTTATTGTCTAACTTTAAAGTTGGCTTTTGGTACCCTTTTACTCTTATGTAAAAGGGATGCTTAGATAAAAGATTGGAAGAGCCCTTTTCCTGAGATTCAAGTACTCCTCTGGATGGGGACCTGGTGGTCCAGACTGCAAGGTGAAGAAGGAGGTGGCCCAGACAGGTGTCAGGGCAGAGTCCTTTGCATCCCCTTAGAAGGGGATGCCACCCTGGAGCTAGCGTTGCTAGGTCCTCTGTTAGCCGCGTTCTGAAAGCTCCCTGAGCGGGACTAAGGATAAGGCGGGGTGAGGGGTGCGTCGAAAAGCCGAGTTCATCCTTCTGAACACCTGGCGGAGAAACTGCTGCTCTGGCCGACCCCCAGCTCTCCGGAAACTCAGGGGGCGGAGGTTCCTCCTACTCCTTGGTCCTTCCCGCCCACCGCCGACCCTCCAGGAGTCCCGGTGCTGGAGCCTCCTTGCATGACGCGCACCCCTGGGCGCAGCAGGCAAATGGTCTGGCCCGTTGGTAGCCGCCACCCCTTGGGCACGACAGCTGCTCCAGCTGCTCTTGGTCGGGTCGAGCTTCTGAGCTCTGAGCCGTGGCTGCCCTGGGCGGTGGGCGAGCTGAGGGGATCCCAGGGCCACCTGTGCGTGGCCGACAGGGAGCCGCCAGCCGCAGGCGGGGAGTGGGGACCACCAAGGGACCGGCCACTGGAGCCATCCGGCAAGGTGCCGAAGCTGTGAGTACCTGCCCTGGCCCCCGCCCCTCCACACCCCAGGTGGGACGCCCATTCTTTCCAGTCCCTGTCCTGGAGACGTGCCCGGGTGGAAGCTGTGAGGAGGGCGGCTGCTGCCAGGCTCATGATTCAGCACCATTGGCACCCAGAGGTTCGGGCAGAAGGGGGAGGGGACCGGACCGAGTCATTGGTGGGGTCCAGCCTTAGTTTCTAGACCAGCCCTGGCATGGTGAAGGGGGCAGTGCTCCTCGTCCCCACAGGGTTGATTGGTCAGGACATTCTGTCCCCACACCCTAGTGTCAACCTCCTTGAGCAGAGAATGTTGTGTGCGTTCTTGAAAGTGTGTCAGTATGATGTCTTTCTCCACACATCTCCTTTCCTCTGCTTCTCATTCCACCATACATCCACTTTGTTTGATATCAAAACGGCCCCCCAAACTGTGAAAATTTTCTGTAGAATTTGTCTTGAGTTCAGCAGAGTTTGACTGATTCATATAAAAAAATATGTATAGGAATTAAGAACAGTATCTTCATCTTTTAGGCACTTGGTGTGTGTGTGTGTGTGTGTGTGTGTGTGTGTGTGTGTGTGTGTGTGTGTATTTGAGTTAAAACATCATACCCACCCAGAGCCAATTGTGGAAAGTGAGGAACAGAGATCTTAAATTACAATCTCAAGGTCACAGAACAGGAGTTTGAATCCAGGTCTGCCTCACTCCAAAATCCACGGGCCATCTGCTGTATCAGTCTGTATTGGGTCCAAGTATGCACTGTTAGATGTGACATATAATAATTTTCATAGGCGTTATCTCAGACACTCGCAGCAGCAACCTGTAAACTTTCTGCACATAGCACTCACTGGAGAGCTCGTAAGAGAAAACACCTATTTCCCTAGCATTCAGTAAGAAGATATATTTAGACAACAGTTCACGGGAAGGCTGGGTCCTAACCAGAGATGCCCAGCGTGATTTTTGGTGGTGATAGATGCTAGATGCTCAAGTATTGGGAGAATCAATTGGCATCACAGTAAGAAATCTGGAAATCATTGTTTTAATCTTCAGGCAACATTTAAAAGAACAGTTATCTAGTTTGTGGGGTATGAGACTGAATCGTGCACAGTAGGGTGACAGATAAACCCAGACTCGGGTCATGCTATTTGGGACTCGGCATAGCAGGTGATATTTTTATGGGTTAAGGAGCTAAAATAGGGAGAAGGTACAACATCATCTGGTAAATGGTAGAATATGAAGAAGCACTTACTCTTGAGTGCTGCTCCACTTATTAAAAAAACATGGATGTGTTGTCGTGAGATGGAGATGTGAACAATGGGAAATGGATTTCTTAATTGATGTCCTGCCCTTCAGAGACAACAGTCCTATTGACCTTGTATGCAAAAGTAATGGACACTAGGTCTTTCTCCTCTGGTGGGTCATTTGATTTGCTTTCATTTATGATTTATGGATTTTCTCTTAAGATATACAACTCTCATTATGTCTCTGGTGTCGGGTTGCTAATGTACAGATGGTGTTTATTTCTAAATCCTGGCAGAGCATTTGATGGCATATGAGAGCATAGCCATTTAGCCCATCACTTCTAAAGCGCTGGACCTTTAGCTTTGGAGAATTCTTTTTTTTTTCACTGTGATATTGATAGATTAAAGCCCACAGCCTAAGTGAGGACATAGCATGGAGATACAAACTTATATTTATTGTTCAGATAAAACTGCAGGAGAAGCAAGGTCCTGTGTGTGGTCTTAAGTTGATTTTTAGAAGGTCATTTCATTTCTTATTTATATTATAAATCTTGGTGAGGCATATTGCAATCCAATCTGTATGATCCCAGGGGGAATCTCAGAATTGATATGAATGAATAAGCAGAAATATAATATTACTGTTTTTAAAGTGGAAAATGGAAAGTGTATGTCCCAGTAGTGATGTCACAGGCAGCATTTTAAAACATGTTTTATTTAGATAATATCACCGAGGGCACGAATCTAATAGCAGCCGGCTGTAGCTGTAGAACTCTACTTCCTCTCTGCCTCTGAATGTATCTGACCAATAACTACTGAAAAACATCTAAATTTATGACTTCAAGGAACTCCAAGTCTAGCTGAGAGGTATTTACTTACCCAGAAATAACAGAATGATACAGAATGGGCTCAGTACCGGCAGATGGTGTGAGTTTAAGTGCTATAGAAACACCCAAAGAGAAGAGGGAATCATTAGAAGCTGGGTGGCCAGAGAATCAAGGATGTCTTCATTCACAGAAGTGGATTAAGTGACTTTCTGAGACTTGGACTGATTTCCACAGGCAGAGAAACGGACAGCTAGGATGTGCCAGGCTCTGGTCTCTGAAGAACTTTGAACGTCAGGCACGAGACCTGTTTCTGATGCGGTCATCACAGAGAACTAGTAGACATATTTTTAATCAGAGAAAGTTTTTCTTGTCCATTTTTTATCTTTGCCTCAGTACCCTTGCAGGAAAATGGAATCTTTTTTGACATTAAAAGAATTATCAACTAAATGCAGAAAAAACAGTCTATGAAAATAAAATACTTTTGTTCTGAAGAGATCCACCCTTTATAATTTTATCCACTGTACAATTATGTACAAATAGGAAAACATAAAGATATAAGTAGTATACTCTTACCAAGTAAAGGCAGCCATTGATGGCGTTATTCATGTGTGGTTTTAATCGCACTATATTATTAATGTACTTATTTTTACTTTCATTCACCAAATTGTGAGTACTAAACATTTTAAATGGCTGCATAAGTTTCCACGAGATAGACACACTGGACCTTCCTAATGATTCCTCATTGTGAGTATATTGTTGATATCAGTCTTGCCACTGTGATGAACATCTTGACCCATGGGTTTTTTTTATTTTGAGGATTAATCCTGTAGGCTAGCATCTCTGGGGAGAGGGTATGAACTCTTCATATCATTAGACTATTTCAGCAAGTTTTGAATCTCTACTAAATTTTCTGTGTTCAATTTTGTTCTT